TGTACTGGAACCAACTTGCCACAACCCTGAGGAACATCTTCAAATAGATTCTGATAGTTACCCCAAAATAGGGGTGGAGAACAAACTTAGAGGACAGCAAGAGAAGGCAAAGAGCAGTTGTGTGTGAGCAAGGTTATGAGGGTGCAAAATGTGACACTAAGCCTTCTCCAAGTTCCTGAGACAACCAATGGATGAAACGGTGGCATCAACCTCTGCCTCAGAAAGGCAGCCCAAAGAAGAGAGTACTCCCTAGAAATGCCGTGTTCCCATGGAAAAGTGTCAAGTACTATTTCCAGAGCATCCGCAGAAGTCAAAAGTCAGGTAAGGACAAGACCCAGAATTGCGATTCTGTCTTGATCCATTCTAGGCCCTTCCCTCCTGGCAGAAGAACTGGTGAGGATGTCTGAAAACACAGGAGAGGCGAGAGAATGGAAACAGAACTGTACCTTGTTCCAGCCTGCTCACTTCCTCCTGGAATTCAGTATCAGCTTCTCCCTCCCCCGGGAAAGCGACACTTAGAGTTTAGAAATACACCTGCTCCCTGGTCACTGACTATTTAGGAGAGCCCAGGGCTTGGGGCAGCAGAGGACATGAGGCCTGTGATAAATAGTCTTGTCTTCTATGGTGTTTGCTGCCCAACGAGAGAGATACAAAATGATAAGATCACAAAAATCTAGTAGGGGCCATTGAGACGGCACATCATGTAAAGACATCCGCTGCCAAGAATGAGTGAAAGCCTGAGCTTAATCTTTGGGACCACATGTGTGCCATGGCATGTGCATGCCCACTCCAAAAAAGTGTTGGATTAACTGCAAGTGTCGGTAAAGCAGCAAGGCTTGGTGCACCATAAAGGGTGCTCACGGGGCCCTGAAACACTGCTTATCACTGGTGGAGTGGTGTAAGCACCATGGGGTCACTAAAAGGACAGTTCGTTTCCAGCTGGCCACTTCAGGAAGATGTGGCATTAAATTGTTTTTTCAATTTTTAAAGTGTGTGGTGTGAGTATGTGTCTGTCTGTCTGTGTGTCTGGAGGTAGGGAGGTCTGCCAAGGCCACGGGTATGTATAGAAGCCAGAGGACAACCTATAGGAGTCGGTTCTCTCCTTCTATTAGTAGATGCCAGAGATCAAACTCCAGTCTCCAGGCTTGGCAGCAAGTTTCTGTGCCCCCTGAGCCATCCCTGAGGATTTTGGTTTGTTTTTAAGGATGGGTGAGAGCACTGGGAAGCAGGGCAAGGAAATGGGAGCAGTTTCCAGCTCTGTTACCGACTATGGGATTTGGGATAAGTTAGTTGTGTTTCTTGTTTGTTTGGTTTTGTGGGGCTGTTAATTGAATCTAGGGCTTATGCATACCAGGTGAACCCTACCACTGAACTGTAAGTCAAAGCCTTAATCCACTTGAATTCAGGCCTCTCATCTCTAAAATGAGAAATGATGTATATTGGAATATTAAATTTAGTATAGCGGCACAGTAAATATTTGGTGCGTGGCAGCTCTTACTGCTAGATGAAGAAGGGATATTCCCAGATATAATAGGGCAATGTCATAGAATTCATAAAGGAATCGGAGACCAGTGGGACTGCTTCTCTGGCTGGCCTAACCTTTCTTTCTCCAAGGCCACTGGACAAACATGGGAAACAGAGTCCAGCATATCCTAATACTCAACAGACACTTGTCGGAGGAATATCTGCCCGGACGTCTTAAAGGACCCCTGTATTGAGTTCCATAGTAGCCTCTATTCCCAAGCCTGTGGCATCTCTTCTACTCTCAAACGTGGTTGAATGTGCTGTTAACACCCTATTTCCTAAGGCAGAAACCCTGGAGTCCTCTCTGCCCCGTCCCTGCTTCAGAAAAGTCACCACTAGATTCTCGGGAGTGCTGTCTCGGAGACATCAGCTCTGCCCACCTGTCACAGCAGCCATCTATCTTTGCCTGCCAAGGGAGTGCAGGAGGTGGAAGATAAGCCTCTAGGTAGCTCTGCGGTGTGACCAGGGCTCGGGAGTCTCTGGCGACTTTACCTACCCTGACTAATGGCAAAGGGCAGTATCTCTTTCTGACCCCGAGCCCTCAAGACTTCTCACCACTGCATCACCAGAGCCTGAGCTGAAGCCCTGCAGACCCCACTCCTGCAGCCTCTGCTCGGCGGGCGGCCTTGGTCCCCCTAGCAGCTGCTGGCTGCATGTGTTATCTTCCACTGCAGCCTCGTGCAGGAGGAGCCAGGCTGAGAGGCAGGGCTATTTATAAACGGAAAGTGGGTGTAGAGTTCTGCAGGCACAAATGGTTTAAACAGCCTAATTCCACCTCGCCTCCACTTTGAAATTCCTGTCCACCCCCTCATCTCCCATCTTCCCTCAAATCATGTAAGTTCCTGTCCTACCCTGGGTCAGAGCCACAAAGGAAAAAAAAAAATCTAAATTCAACGTCTACAGGCAACTACAGAATAAAACTATTGAAGGGCTGGGGCTATGGGTTGTGTGAGGAGGACTCACTTAGGATGTGCAAAACCCAGGGTCCAATCCCCACATGATGAGAAGAACATAGAAAAACAAAAAACCGCTAGAGACTGCAAACATGATTCAGTGGTTAAGAGTGGGTACTGCTTGCACAATGGGTAAGCGAGTGTATAGGCTCACAACTACCTATAACTCAAGCTCTAGATCTGATACCCTCCTCTGGTCTCCACAGCCACTCACACTCACATGCACATACCACAGACAAACACACGTGTATACATAATTTAAAATAATTTTTTGTTTGTTTGTTTCTCGAGACAGGGTTTCTCTGTGTAGCTTTGCGACTTTCCTGGAACTCACTTTGTAGACCAGGCTGGCCTCAAACTCACAGAGATCCGCCTGGCTCTGCCTCCCGAGTGCTGGGATTAAAGGCGTGCGTCACCACTGCCCGGCCAAAATAATTTTTTTAATTATTGAGATACCACCTAGTAATAAGTACTTGTTGGGATGGGCATGGAGGTGTACGCCTTTAATCCTGGCACTCGGGAGGCAGAAGCAAGTGGATCTCTGTGAGTTTGGGTCCAATCTACTCTATATAGCTAGTTCCAAATCAGCCAAAGATACAGAGTGAGGCCCTGGCTCAGGATAAACAAAACAATACTACACACTGGGTATACCCCTGGGGTGGGGCATTTGTCTAGAATGTGTAATGCCCTGGGGTTCAGTCTCTTACTACAAAATTAATACAATACATATTGATAACCCACTGTATGATTTACTGTATATCCATTAGCTCCAATCCTCGTAACAGCCATGTAAGCAGAACTAGTTACTGAGAAGTGATGTCTGAAGGCTTACCTGGTTTGCCCAAGACTAGGAACTGGCAAGACAGAATTCACTCCTAGGTTTTCCCATCTGTGGGATTTCTGATAACATGGCACGCATGTGCCTGAATCCCAGTGTTCTTTACAAGGAGGGAGCTGCTTTGGTGTGAAGTGGTGAGAGAAACTCACAATGTCATTATAACAACGCATGGTTGACGTTGTATCGGCACAGTTGCGTGCCTGAGGGTTCAGCTCAGGCTGGTATGCTAACAAGGAAACATATTGGCTCAAATAACAGAAATGGCCAGAGCGTCAGACAAGGGACTAAGGTCTTTCACTCTTGGTTCCTTGCAGCTGCTGGCCTCTGCCAGGTTCCTTCTCGGACAGGGTCTGTCCATTGCACCAGATGTCTGTTGGCAACCCAACCTGTGCCTTCTTGGAGCTTGTAACTCCGGAGAAAGCACATACCACTTTAGACAACCCCAAGAGACGCTGCTGTGGATCCATACCCATCTGTAAACCATGTGATGTGTCTTGGAGAGGAACTCCTCTAGCACCCTACTGTCCAGACCTGAGCTGTAGGCCTGTTCTAAAGGGGTCAGGCCTGGGGCAGCCCTACAAGACACCATCCACATGCAGCTAGATCTCTAGCTAACATGCAGGGTATGGCTCATCCAAGGAAGCTTTGCTGGGTAAAGAGCCTGTACACCCATCCAGAAGAAACAGTGTGCTTGGAGAGAGGAGGAAACCCATGTTCCCCAAGAACGTGGGACAAATGAGAATCCATGAGCTAAGCAGAGCACAGGTACACATAAATATTAGCAGTGGCCCCAGGAGCCAGATAATATCCCATTCCAAATGGGAGAAAAAAGAAATGCAAAGACTTAAACTATTTGCTCGTGAGGATCAGACAAAGGCAGGATTCCCATCTGAATGTAACACAGTGAGCACCCGGATGATAGAGTGGGAGGAACCAGGCACGGAATGAGACATGGAAGCCATATCCTCATGGGAGGCTGCTTTGGACTGCTCAGCCACACTCCAAGGGGCACTGCCACCGCCATGGCCTCTACAATCTCACCCGGCTACCAGCTAAGCTACCGGTTCTCAACCTTGCTAACGCTGCAACCCTTTAAAACAGTTCCTCGTGTTGTGGTGACCCCTCCCGTCATAAGATTATTTTCATTGCTGCTTCATACGTGTAATTTTGCTACTGTTATGGATTGTAAATAGCTACGTTTTCCAGCGGTCTTATTCCGCGCTTGTGAAAGGGTCCTCCAACCCCAGGACAGGTTGAGAATCACTGGGCCAAGTAGTTGACACACTTCACGTGAAACAATGGCAGTCTCCCCAGTCCCTCGCTGGCTCCCGGAAGCTTCTTTCCTAAACTTCCTTCTGATGACAAAAAGAGACACCTGGAACTGTCAGTGAGACAGGAAGCACAGACAGGCTTGGCACCTGGTATCTCGGCGCTTGGCAGGCAGAGGCAGAAGCGCTGCCACAGGAATGAGGCCAGCCCGGGCTGTGATGCGAAACCTTGTCTCAAAAACCAGAAAGGGCGACGGCGGGGGGCGGGGCGGGGGCGGGGGCGGCGGGGGGGGGGGCGTATGCTAAATTAAGGAAGTGCATGTTGGGTAGGGACTGAATCAATGCTTAGATGATGAAATGAGTTGAGGAAGTCCGAGAGAAGTCATCTCGAATTCAGACACTAGATGGCAGGTGTGGTACAAGAGGTGCAGAGGAAGGTCTGCAGAAGAAATGAGGACGAGCCGTCTGTAGAAAGTCCCTGTGTGGGAGAAAGCAGAACACCAAAGAAGCCAGCACCGTCCCACAGTGGGGCCAACAAATAACATTTAAAAGGGGTACAGGACGGGAGGAAAGGTGAGTCTCAGAAATCGAGGCTTGGAAAAGGCACAAACACGTCACTGACTCGCGCTCCGTGTCTGAGCGATGAGGCGAGGACAGGGCTCCTCTTGGGAATCAGTCTGCAGTTACCAGGGAAGGCAGGAGACTCAGCCCACTGTCCTCATTGTCCCTGGGGGAAGCTTTGCTAGGCTGGGGGGGGGGGGCAGGAAAGGCAAACGCGGCTTGGAGAAGGCACAGGAAGAAATGACCAGAGAAAGCCAAGGCACCTAGCCACTCAAGACGAGCTGCAAAGCTAGGGTGCCAAGGATCGCTTGAGATCAAGTCCAGGGCCGCAGTGGGATGGGGGAGAATGCCCAACATTACAGAAATAGGAAAAGCTGATTCTGGAAACACTGGATAGGTGTGTCTTTAATGGATTCTCCCATCCCCAAATTTATTCTAGAATACAGCATTAAGCTCTGGGTTCAAGAAAACCTTAAAAAAAAAATGGTTTGGTGTCTTCACAAAGAATATGTATGATGGAAATGATGATACCAATAAGTTCTATTCTTAAATAGTTCTGTTTCCAGTTAGACACTGAGTGACTCATGCCTGAGGGGGTGAGGAGCTCAGAGACGACCCCATTTAGGGCTTTTGCCCATTTAACTACTGTGACCCTTCACCCCGATTGCTAAACCCACCAGTGCTTATCTGGAGAGAAACCTCTTCTGTTTGGTGAGATCAGGAGTCATTGATGATGCCATCTTATCATATTTGCTCACAGCGCCACTCTGGGAGAGAAACCTAGTACCTGAGCATCAGAATCCCGCTTTTAAAATAACTAATCCAGCAGAAATTTGAAGAGAAGAGGTTGTGATGATGGTTTGAATAAGAGTGGGCCCCATGCCAGGTGTGGTGGCGCACGCCTTTAATCCCAGCACTCAGGAGGCAGAGGCAGGCGGATCTCTGTGAGTTCGAGGCCAGACTGAACTACCAGCCTACAAAGCTAGTTCCAGGACAGCCAGGGCTGCACAAAGAAACTCTGTCTTGAAGGAAAAAAAATGGCCCCCATAGGTGCATATATTTGAATATTTAGTCACCAGGGGGTGGCACTATTTGAAAGGATTAGAAGGATTAGGAGGTGTGGCCTTGTTGGAGGAAGTGTGTCACTGGGGATGGGCTTTGAAGTTTTAAAAGCCCATGCCAAGCCCAGAGTCTCTCTGCCTTCAGATCAGGATGTAGCTCTTGGGTACTGCCATGCCCCTGCCCTGATGATAATGGACTGCTCCTTGGAAACCGTCAGCACGCCTTCAGTCAAATGCTTTCTTCTGTAGGAGCTGCCCTGGTCATCTCCACAGCAGTAGAACGGTGTCTAAGACAGGAGGAAAGACCAGCATCTATGTTTTTTAAATTACATTTCCTGTTTTCTCCTTGTGTGTCTGTATTCCTACCATGGCCGAAGTGTGGAGGTCAAGGATGACCTGTAAGAGTTGGTTCTCTCCTCTCGTCATATGGGTCCCGGGAGTCAAACTCAGATTGTAAGGTGTGACAGCAAACACCTTTACATGCTGTGCCTTTTTTAAAAAATGCGTATTTTGCCTGCCTGCATGTCTGCACTGGAGGAGCAGCCAGTGCTTTTAACCACTAAGCCGTCTCTACAGCCCTTGTTTTGTTTTGTTTATTTATTTGTTTGTGTATGTGTGTTTGGGCGGGGGTTGCTTGCTTACTTTTTGAGATACTGTCTTACTTCCTATCTCAGGCCTGGAGCTTGCTGTGTAGATGAGTCTGGCCCTCACAACCTTCCTGCCTCTGCCTGCCAAGCGCTAGAACGACAGGCATGCGCGGCCACCCCCAGTCTCCCTTCCCCTTTAGGCAGCAGTAAAATCTATCCATCGATTTGAAGTGGTTTTTGGATTTTTATCATGCTTCATGGTCTTTCCTCACTCTGAAAAAAAAATGAGCAAGTGAAATGTCATTCATTTTTATATGTATGAGTGCTTCGTGTGAACAGATGTCTGTGAAGAGTTTGCATGAAACTAGCCAGGAAGGCCAAAGAGGGAGTCTGATCCCCTGGAACTGGAGTTACAGAGGGTATGAGCCCCAGGTGGTGGCTTGGAAACCAAACCCAAGTCCTCTGCAAAAGCAGCCAGTGCTCCTAATTGCTGAGCTGTCTCTCCAGCCGTACCCTGGAACTTCTTTTGAAAAATAATTTGATACTGTTTTGTTTTTTATGTGTTTGTTCTGAGACAGGGTTTCATTATGTAGCCCATGCTGGCCTTGAACTCATGATCCTTCTGTCTCGGCCTCTTAAAGGCTGGAATTACAAGTACGAGCCATCACGCCCAGCTCTTATTTATTTATTTATTTATTTATTTATTTATTTATTTTCCTGAGTTGGTGTATCTCTCTGTAGCCCTGGCTGTCCTGGGACTCGCTCTGCAGACCAGGCTCCTATTCTTTTAGTTACTTTCATTTCCTGTGACTGACTGTTTTGCCCATGCAAACAGTGTCCTTACAGTGCCTACAGAAGTCAGAGGAGGGTATCAGTGGATCCCCTGGAATTGGAGTCACAGACAGCTGTGAGCTGCTGTGTGGATGCTGGGAATTGAAACTAGGTCCTCTGCAAGAGCAGTAAGTGCTCTTAATCAATGAGCCACCTCTCCAGCCCACACACCCCCTCTTCATTTTGAAGTGAAAGCAATAACAACACATCCACTGTAGAGAACTGGGAAATATAAAAACTTAGAGAAAATAGTTTGTCGGGAGAGATTTTAAAGGACTGAGAGGAAAAATGGTTATGTGAGCTTGATTCTGGAATTGCTTTACAGGCCTCCAGTCTGTGGCAGGATAGCTTACCTCCCACACACGCTGAATCATCCAGATATCACCCAACACACAATCTTCACAAAGGCTAACTGGTGTTGGCGTCATGCCCGTGGATCTTCAGGACTAAGCCAAATGTCCTTCCTTTATACTCCTTATTACATTTATGTATTTATTTATTTATTTATGTATTTATTTATGTATTTATTTATTTATTTATTGCGAGGGGGCCATGGTGTACATGTGGAGGTCAAAGATCACTTTGTGGAATCTGTTCTCTCCTTCCACCGTGAGGGTTAAACTGAGCCAGCAAAAGTGTTTACCATGGAGCCATTTCATCAGCCCCATGGTGTCAGTGGATTCTGTTCTCTATTGATTTCACTTCTGTACTGGAAACAAGGCATCCCAGAATGTTTCTCATGAAGGAAGTTATTCTACTGCGACTGAAAGCTACCGACCCCAGAATAAAGTCTAGCTGCTATAAAGTTCTATTTTTTCTTTTTTTTAATATAATTTTTTTATTTTATAATTTAATTTAATTTTACATATCAGCCATGGATTCCCTTGTCCTCCCCCCTTCCGCCCACCCCCCAGCCCACCCGCTATAAAGTTCTTTATGGTCAGATTTTACCTCATTTTTCCAGACCTTTTGTCAACATCACAGAAATTGTGTTCCTTGTTTGTAGCATGAATCTTAAAAGGTCTCACCAGCCGGGCGGTGGTGGCGCACGCCTTTAATCCCAGCACTCGGGAGGCAGAGCCAGGCGGATCTCTGTGAGTTCGAGGCCAGCCTGGGCTACCAAGTGAGTCCCAGGAAAGGCGCAAAGCTACGCAGAGAAACCCTGTCTCGAAAAACCAAAAAAAAAAAAAAAAAGGTCTCACCAGTTCCTCAGCTGATCCTTTTTCCTCAGACTGGAAGCATCTGAGTCCTCATCCCGAACGAATCTCAGCTGAACTGCTGCTCAAAAGCCTAAAAGCTTAACCAGGCTCTAGTTCTTGGTCCTCATGCCTTATATACCTTTCTGCTTTCTGCCATCACTTCCAGGGATTAAAGGCGTGAGTCACCATGCCTGGCTGTTTCCAGTGTAGTTTTGAACTCACAGATATCCTATGGATCTCTGCCTCCAGAATACTAGGATTAAAGGTGTGAGTGCCACCATTTTCTGGTCTCTATGTCTATCTAGCAGCTGTTCTGTTCTCTGACCCTAGATAAGTTTATTGGGGTGCACAATATATCAACCACACTTGTTTGCTTTTGGAGCTCGAGGATAGGACTGAGGAGGTGTTTTGACTGGTAAGAGCATTCGACTTCAAGCTTAGGACAATACTATAGAGTCTGAGAGAAAAACAACAGGCAGGCAAGTCATAAACATCAGACCTGCGGGCAGGAGGAGATGGCGGAGAGGAAGAGAGGACGCCAGGTCTTTTTGGGTTAAGGTCTGACAAGACAGACAGGTTCAGCAATGCAGGTGGGCAGGCAGCCAGCGGCAGAGGTGAGGCAGAGGGCTTTGGAACCAGTGAGAAAGCCCAGAGTGTGGGGGAAAGCATGCAGAGGCCATTGTCTAAATGAGAAGAGGGGGAGATAGAACTCAGAGATGCAGGCGGACTTAGCAGAGGGAAGTACTGTGAATAACTGCAGAGCCCATGAATGTCACATTACACACACACACACACACACACACACACACACACACACACTATGGGATGATCTTCTGTACACTGTGTAAATTATGCTCTGTCTGGCTTAATAAAATGCTGACCAACCAACAGCCAGGCAAGATAAGGTTTGGCAGAAGAACCAAACTAAGGAGGGGAAGAAAAAGGACAGAGTCGAGGGAAACTCAAGCCAGCTGCCCAAAAAGCAAGATGCCAAAGGACCAGTAAAGCCACAGACCATGTGGCAATACACAGATTAATAGAAATGGGTTAATTTAAATGTAAGTGCTAATTAATAATAAGCCTGAGCTAATGGCCAAGCATTTTGTAATTAATATAAGCCTCTATGTGGTAATTTGGGAAGTGGCTGCCAGGTATTTGGGAACAAGTGGGTGGGAGAGGACACACACACACTGCACACACCCATGCATACACACACACATAGACACAGAGACATCTATGCGTCCACACACACACAGACACCTGTGTGCACAAACACACACACAAACACAAACACATACCACCCATACATGCAGGTACACACATACACATAGACACCTGTGCACACACAGAGATACATACAGACATAAGAACACACACATACATGCACCTGCATGCACACAGGAACACAGACACACAGAGACAGGGTCTAGTCTAATGTAGCTCTGGCTACCTAGGAAACCTTGAACTCTGGTCCACTTGCTTCTGCTTCCAAGTGATAGAATTAAAAGAGTAGCGTACCTGGCCTATGAAGTGCTGGAGATCAACCCTTTTGTGTCAGCCGGAGAAGCATTCTACCAACTGAGCTGCGTCCCCAGCCCAGCACACCAATACTATTGCTCTTTTTTTTTTTCTCTTTTTCTACATGCTAGAGATCAAATCCACAGCCTCACACATAGTAAGCATGTACTCTTTCGTTGGGCTACATCCCCAGCCCTATTCATTTTCAAATGCACACCATGCAGTCGTGGCAGCCAGCACACATTAAGAACATATAACATTCTCGGCTCTGGGCCAAGTACTTTAGAACCAAATATACCCGTGAAGGCTTGTCACAAGTCAGTGAGACATATGTGTATTTTGGGGGGAGTGGAGTTTAAGACAGAGTTCATGTAGCCCAGGCTGGCTTCAGACTCACTATGTACCAAAGGCTGGCCTTCAACTTCTGATGCTCCTGCTTCTTCCGCCCAAGTATTGAAGTTACAGGCTTATGCCACTGCACCCAGTTCCATTTTAGAGGTGGGGAACCAGAGGACACAATTAGCAGTGGAGCTGGTTCCAACCAGAGAGCGTTTGGATGCCGGCTCCCGCTCTCCACCACGTTTCTTTTTCCAGCTGAGGCTGCAGGTGGTGCTCTATTTTCTGCCCGGCCTGCTGTCTTCTATAGCCGTGAACACTCTAACCACTGAGCCATGTTTCCAGCCCCCTCCTCCACGATTCCTTAGGGTTTCTCTGAGAGTCCATCCCCTCCCTGTTCCCCCGTCCCTGGTCGTTCTATTGTTATGTGACCAAGTCCAGCACAAGTCTTCACAGCTGTGTTTAGATGTCACCTCTTTCCTTAAGTTTCCTTGGGTCCCTCCTTCACTTGGGGAATTCCTTCGCCTACTATTCGTGCACCTTCTCTGTGGTTTTTATTTGTGGCTGCTCTTTGAGAAGCGGAGGGACTGGGGTGTGATGGCACACACCTATAATGTCAGCACTCAAGAAGCTGAGGAAGGGGTATTGCTGGCTAGGGTGAGTTCAAGGCCAGCCTGGAGAACCCAACCTCCCCAGTTACATACTGTTCGTGCCTCTCTTTGCCCCCTCCTCCTCATCCAGAGGTTATTAGGCTGGGCTGAGGACTACATTTACATCTCAAGCTTTACCCCCAACCCCTCATGACCCCTCTGACACCGCCCTCGGCAGGCGCTTCCCTCAGTGAACATAGAAAAGAGTTCAACCCCCTCCACTGCCCCTTCCGGGGGGAAGAACCAGAATGCAATGCCCCTGTCAGCAAAGGATGCGCCAGCCTGGGCCTGGGGTCATCCTGAGGGCTTCTTCCCCCCATAAGAGGTCCAGGCCAGTCTGAATGGGCAAACCTACTCAAACCATTGTACAAGGTACCATATTTAAAAGAAACCCATAGGGGTTGAGGGTGTAGCTCAGGGGAAAAGAACTTTGCCTAGCATGCATTCAGACCATGCATTTTAAATACATAAAGGCCTTGAATTTGGAAGTGAAACTCAGGGGCTTGCACGTATTAGCAAGTACTTTACTGGGCCCTCAACCCCTCTGGTTGCTTTTTAAAATATATTTTATCTATCTGTCTGTCTGTCTATCTATCTGTCTGTCTGTCTGTCTGTCTATCTATTCGGTGTGTGAAGGTCAGAGGACAAATGTCAGGGTTAATTCCCTTCTACCACATGCATCCCAGGGATCAAACT